TTGATTTGCCAAACTTCTTTTGACTCAATAACAGAGAGAAAAACATCTTAGTGGAGCAGACACTGAGAATAATTACCTATTCTCCTCCACACATGAAGTATTTTTAATTAAATATATCCAGCTTTGTCTATTCGAGGCAGCAAAAATGCCAATGAATTCTTTAAGAAATATTCAAGGAAACATCACCCTTTAAATTTTCAACTAATTCCGGGTAGATTGTTAACATTCAAAAGGTAAGACATACCTAAACTTAACTGCTCATCCAGAAGAAGGCAAGAAATAAAATAAAGGAACATTTCATTATTGTGCACAAAAAACCTAAAACCGGGAAAGAAATCATTATATTATCTTTGTGGAAAGAAATGAAGACTTCAGCAAACACAGTGTACATGGAGATACATCAAACAGAGACAACAGGTGTAATTCAAAGCAAAATTTATAATCATTAGAGCAGAGAAGGTCTTTTAATAAAATACCAAATATAATGAATGGAGTTAGAAGACACATGAATAACAGTATTGATGTCTCCCAGAAAACTCTAACAATTAACAATGATAGCAATTTTTCAGGAAAAAAAAAAAGTGAAAGAATATTACCATGTAGTTATAGTCATTGTTCAGATATGGTTTACAGCACTCAAGCCTCAACAATCATTGGATGGAAATTCCCCCCTCACACCACTGTAGTCTGCAACCTCCAAAACACTTCTCTTCCCATACGCCACACAGGATTTTTACACAAGAGTAAACCACCATAATTTGTGTTCTTTTACTGAAGTTGCTATTATAACCTTGTATTAAATTTCTTTTTTTCCCTTCAAACTTTCCAGCTGAGATTAAATATTACCACCTCATTTGTAGCCCAAACATCTCTGAGAGCGCTTATAGTATTTAAACCAGAAACTGGCCAACTTCTAATGAGTGTCTGGCACACTCTACAACCTACAGCGTCTTCCCCAAGGAAATGCCTGTAGTTTTGCAGGCTGTGTTTTTGTCGCCTTCTGTGTGACACTGGCCTAGCCCCTGCAGATGAAACATGGTTCAGTCCTGCAATGTCCTGAGGTGCTCAGCACCCTCAATTCCATGTGACAGCTGGGGATAATCAGTAACTTGCAGGATCAGACTCTTAGTAGACATTCTCTTTTTGGCAAAGTAGACAGGGCTATTAACAGGATAAAACTGTAAAGACGCAGGCTTATCTGTCTATGAGCTAAACCATAAAATAACTTCATTGTACTATACCCTTGTGAACCTTCATGTAATTCCCTGGCTTGATTGATTAGACTCAAAATTCTAAGACTGCAAAAACAGCATTCAGTTGCTCTATTTTTTATGATTTCAATTTAAAGCTGCAAGTAAACTAGCCTGCTGCCCAAGTGTAATTCCAGTTCCTCTAGCTTTGAAAAACTACTGCAAAACTAAATACATTATTTAGCACTTACTGACTATTCTTTGGTTAATTTGGGAGCATGAACAGTAAGACTGCGTGGTCGAAGTCAAGTTCAAAACAATTTGGCTACATCTTCAAAACCAACAAATTTTCATTGGGGTGGGTCAGATGTTAGTTTGACCTCTATCCTTAAGCTCTCAGCAGCAACACTGTAATATAAACCCAAAGTCTGCGGATAAAGCACTGAAATGTCTCTTGATGCATTAATATATCTCTTTGTGGTTAAAAGCTGATTCTTCTCCCTGCAGCACAATCAACAAAACAGCTTTATCCATCTCTGCTCTGAAGGTGCATCACCAGGAAATGCCAGAATTCAAGACAAAGCAAGATTGCTTCCAATGATCACGGACAGAAGTTTCATATCTCACTGGGGCCTTGCAACTTCCAGGGTAGGATGACAAAGGCCACTCAAGTACCTCTGAAAGCAGCACATCAGTGACTTTAATAGAGGAAGTGTCCTGTACTGAAAAACATCAAGAACAACCACCTACACCACAGCCAGACACAGCAAGGTACAAAACATTTCACTGGCATCACTACCTGATGAATCTCCATTAAGAACTACTCTTTCTGCACTGCAAATCTCCTTTTGCCACAGAAAATTTCAGCCAACCTTCCTACTGATTAATGATTGAAAAATCCCATCGCTTACACTTAATTAGCACAACAAAATCATTCCTCATATCTGTGGCATACTTGCTGTATTCAGGAACCTTAATGAGATGCCCTCTGGAATCCTTATAATTGAAGGAGAAAATGGACTTAAGCTTCTAAAAATGAAGGCCTTCAGGCGCCATAGGTCATAAATGTCGATGTATGTGAGAAGAAAATACTTCATTTTGGTGCATGGTCCGCACTGCACATAGCTACGATGAAAGATACACACCTATACATTAACATTTTACCTGTAAGGTCCTGGGCATCCACAGAGCTCATTCTTTTCCACTTAAGTCAGACTCTGTGATTCTACACAGAAAAATCTGCTGGTATTTTGTGCTAAGGGGCAAAAAATGAGGAATGGACCTGAAACTGGCAGTGAAATAGAGGGGTATCAGAGACACTGTTATCTCTAGAATCGCCCAAAGAAGCCTGAGACAGCAATACTTTGTGTTAGCAGAGTATGGCCCTTTTTTTTCTCCTTATACTGCCTTAGTGGCAGTAGCATTGAGGCAAGGAGCAGCTCAGACAACTTCACGCTAATAAACACTTTCTCTTTACAGCAGCAACCCTCACGGTCCTTTGGCGCTTAACTGAAAAAATTCCACAGCCCTCATTTTTCTGTCCTGTGCAGGTGCCCATCAGAAGTAATGGGATTCTGGATTCAGTGGTTCTCATGAAAATTTTACCAAGGCAGGCTTACAGTTGGAAGTTGCAGTTTTAAAGTATCTTTTTGAGATCCACCCTTCCTTCCTCACACAGCTCCTTCCAGCCTAGAAGTTCTGTTTTGTAATTTCTCACATAAAGGGAATTAAATTACCTCTCATCTTGCAGTCCTTTTTCATGCTCAATTTTAAACGTCCCCACATATAAAATACCAAAATTCAAATAGCTTTATAAAGTTACTACACTTTTTTCTCTTGTACAATCATACATTTCTCTTGGTGAATTTAATTATTGCATTTAATGAACTGTTACTCAATGAACTGTATACATGCTGACCATGTGGACCATGAACATATTTTGTACATGTGCTGATCATGAACTCTTTGGCCGACATCTCCAAAGACTGAATCTACCAGAGGACAGATAGCTGTGTGAAGCAAAACATATCTTAGTAGTTTCTTTTAAGACTCACCTGCCGAATGACAGTATTTTTATTTAGCTGACTTTTCTACTAGTAAAATGTCTGCCTTTGTACTTTTCATTACAGAACCATTGGTTCCACTAAAGATAACAAAGTATAATCTTATGATCTCTTCATTGTCCTCCTATAGGTTGGTACCTGAGCACAGTTCCTCTCACCCCGGCCCTAGAGATGCCAGTAAGCGAAACCATACATCAGCATGAATTACAAAGCAGTTAGTATGAGGCCACTGGAAAAGGTTTTTGGTTTTATGGCCCTTGACCACCAGCAAACTTTCTCCCTTCAGGAAAGTATAGATTACCGAAGCTTTTCTTCTCTCAGCTACAGAGGGTTTAGTAGCAATGCTAAGGAAGTAACATTCTGAAGTGTCTGTGTACAAGAATTAAGTGGGAGAGCAACAAGGAATCAGATAGTGAAAGGGTAATGTATGAAAGACAGTAATATCCCTCATATCTCCATTTCTTACCTTGCCTGTCTTCCTCTGTCCAACCTCCTAAAATGAAATCTGTCTACTCTTAATGAATCCCTGCTTGTCTTTCTCTTCCCTCGTGGCTGAAAAGATCTGAAGCGCCCAGGGAAGCACTCCTTGATCAGTTCTGATGGCAGGTAACAGCAAGCTAATCAAAGACTGAAAATGCAAAATATAGGATGAATTACCAGAGGGGAATAACTACCACCAAAAAAATTTCATTTTGAAAGAGGAGTTAACTTCATGTGAGAACTACTCATACAAAAGCTATTTGTTTTAGTTGCTAGAGAACAATCTGAAAAAAACACAGTGAATTGTTTCTGTTTTAATACAAATCACTTTCACATTTATTCTAGACCTGGTTTTGCTGTTTCCATAATTTGTGCTTTATGCAGTTAAATATTCACATGAGTCATTATATTGAACATTTACTTTTCCCTTGACAGTTGTTTTCTAAGTACAGTTCTTTGTTTATTATGTCCTGACCTCATGTATATTTGACAGCCTCTAAGGAGTGTTATTCCTCTGGAAATAATAAATGAGTTCTGTTTGTTATATTTTTATATTTTCTCAAGAATTTCTGCCATAAGCAACTCAGGCTGCAATTGAGATATTAAAATTTAATTCTCAAAATTTCATCACAAGTTTTTGGCTCCAATACAAAAAACATATCTGTGATTTTAAGTGCTGAGTATCTTAAGATACATACATTCAACACACTCAAATGAGGGAGCAGCAAGAGCAGTTGTAACAGTTTGAGTGCACAGTCATTGTACGAATAATACTCAGAACTACCACAATTATTTGAAAGCCATCAGGGAGCCCAAATAAGCAGTTAAAGTATAGTTGCTCTTTACTGCCTCACAGAATACACAGCCATAATAATATCATCTTTCCTAAACTGTAACCACTGAGCTAATACACTGGAATTCTACCAGGAACATGGCCCTCTGGAATAGCTGCTGTTTAGAAAAGATGTAAACATAGGACCACAACTCCTTGAGGTCATTCCAGAATCTGTAACAGTGTTTTTTTTTTGCAAGAATAGGGTCTTTTGCAAAAACAACAGTCTTTGCAAAAATTGCCTCTGTGAAATTTTATTCTGCCTTTTTAAACTTACATTTCATTAGATGGCTCCCAATCCCTGTGTTATGATTACTGGAAAGGAGGCCTAACAGCAAATATACAATTAATTCTGTAGCATTAACTACTTAAGGTGATTTTGGCATTAACTGACACAAAAAAATAAGCTGTTAAATTAACAGCCTTTTTTTCAAGTGGTTACTTGGTGAGAATTATACTGAGCCCTAATCCTACGTCACCAAAGGAAACAGGAACTGAATCAGACCTAAAGACACCAGTACCAGAAATCTCTATCATGGTGCCACAAAGGCAAAGTTCATTTTGAGTTCTCTGGAAAACTGAAAACATGCCTGCTTTTGTACAAAGCCTGACCGTGACTTACTGCTATATGAGGTCCAGTCATTCTGCTTTGGAATTACATATCCCTGCATTTTAAAGAAGTTTCATTAACTGTTTTAAAATTAATCTTTGTAAATTTCCCTTGATTTTAAGAAAAGAATAGGCCCTTGGTAAATTTTAAGGTCCTCCTTGTCTGTATACTTTAAATTAAGACTTTGCCAGTAAAAAGCTAGCAAGAGAATTCAGCCTTCTACAGTTCCATTCATTTTAGTAATAATCTCTGAACATTAGTATGAAAGGATCATTAATCCTACCAGTCCTCCTTGCATAGCATTTTCTTTCAGTCCAGTCTCAAAAAGGAGACAAAACCGTGCAAATTTTAAGTCAGTCATTGTTAAACTATGCCATGTGTGGAAGCAAATTAATAACGAAAATGTTTTATCCTGCCATCAAAAAAAAAATATCCTAAAGTTATGAGAACAAGTGTGCAGCCATTTGACACTTCTTAAAAGTCTTAATGGCCTGAGGAATCATTTTGTTAGCCTGATCTGACTCCCTGCATAACAAGAACTGTTACACCAGTTTAGTGCACACACATTTTACACGATGTGTGAAAACCATCTAGGGCTTGTCCATACCCTAAGATGGAACATGGTATTGGGATGTCTGAGCCAGAGGAGGCACCAGCTGAATCTATGAAGTGCCTTATCTAAACTATTGTCACAAAGTGGTGAAGTCAAATCAGTAATGTCTCATTCTCACGGTCAAAGTGCAACAAAACCATCTACAAGTAAAAAGCTGGAGAATCAGGCCAACATTTTTTCTTGCTAAATGATGGAGAACCAATAAAGGCACGTGCATTGTCACCTGCTGAAACCTGGAGGGCTGCTGCAGGGAGAGGGCTTTGGACCGTATGTCTTCTCCTTGCAGGCATGTAGCCTAGTGGCTGTGACCTTGACGCCCTTGTCAGGAGACTAGAAGAGACAGAAATGGCCTCCAATGGCTTGACATGTCAAGCAGCTTCCTAAGAGCTCCCCCCTTTTCTGCACAAGAAGAGCAAATACTAATAAGATAATGGGACACAGCAATTTAGTTTTACCAGAAGAACACATAATAGAATAAAGATCACCCTAAGCTTGGAGCAAGAAGGCGCAAGTGTACATGTCAGACCTCTCCTGCTCTGTGCACGTCTCTCCCTGCTGTGTTTCCATCTGCCGGACTTCTTACAGAAAGCCACAATCGCCTGACCGAGCAACTCACGGTGCACACAGGCATGAGTCCATCTCAGCGAACACCGTGTCGTCTCCCTGTACAGTCATACATTCAAAAGTGTGCCAGGGAAGACACAGTCCCCAGGCAGACACTGCTATGCCGCATCCTTTGGGGTCTGCAGCAGGCGGGCAGCAGCCAGAGCCCAACCCTGTGAGCACCACTACCTGCCATGAGACTCACAGCAGCATTTGGGGGAGCTGAGAGATCTGCACTTTGATGTGTGCCAAGAGACCAGACATGATGACATGTTCAAAACAAGAGTTTATGTGATTCAAATAGCAGTCATAAAAGCAACCACCTTTTGTAAACACATCAAGCAAATAAATGGAAGTTAATTTCTTAGCATTTTCAGAACTAGAAGCCATATTTACTTTCAAACAGACAACAAAATTTCCCCAAACTGGCACTAAGTAGTTTTTTATTACTACTGCAGTGCTCCAAACGGCACATTAATAATGCAACCGCCCCGCATCTCACATTTGTTACTAGTTATGGGATAAGGCAGGGTGTGTCAGCGCACTGCATCAGCTTTCAGGCAAAATGAGATGTTTGAGAATCATCTGCTGCTAATGGCAAACGTTCTTCCTTTACAAATTCATAGCCAATGTTTTTGTTAATTTCAGTTCAGACCTTATCTCTATACAATAACCAAGCCGTGTAAATATCAACTCACTTCACAAACGAAAACTACAAATAAGCAGTTTTGGTCTAAAATGCCTATAAACTTGCGCTTAGGTAATGCTTATCCTGCATCCACCCCCACCGCACAAATCCAGTCTACAAAGCTTTACGGTATCTTAAAGCCCTTGTCGCTAATCTGTGGCAGACATGAATTTAATCTAATGCATGCAGCTTTGTTATTGGTACTTCCTTTCATGAATACAATATGCCACAATAATATATTCCCTTTAACCACCAATCCACTTGCGTAGCATTCCCGACTTCCAGCGCCAACCCGTACCGCCGCCCTCCCTGCAGCCAGCCCCTCTCCGAACCCAGATCACCTGCAGATGTGTGCTGCCCGGCCTTAACTGCTCATTCCCTTCTAAATTAAAACGCTAAAAAGGGGGAAGGCCTCTTCAGGCAGCACCGTTTCTCAGGCTAAAATACATTTGTCATATCCCCAACTTGCAAAGTTATTTTTTAAGAGCGTGAGCAAAACTATAAAACATCTGCGTGAGGGAAGCTTTTGTTCTAAGTGTAGGATTACACATAAATGTAATGTTTGGGGCGCGGGGGTGAAGAGATGTTTTAACACCTTCCCCTCCCATACAGCTCTGCCAGTGCCCAGTTTAGAGAAGACTTTGCCTCCTACGCTGGGTTAGCATATATAGGGGAGGCCCACAAGGTCCTTACTTTTCACATCCCGCTGCCAGCGGGGGCCAACTTCAGCCGTGAAGGCGGCGGGGGAGGAGGGGGGGAGAGGCCGAGTGGGCAGCGCGGGGGAG